CAAGCTCATCCTATTTTCAAATGTGACAGGTAATTTCCTTTTGGTGTTATACTTGAAGGCCCCCTGCAAAGAGGCCACAATGACATGTTCACAGCATTGCCTTGTAAGAAATCAAAATAGAATCAAACAGAAGAGCATTACATTGCTATACACAGGATCTCCTGAGCAATGTGTATACCATCAACGTAGCTGTCTCACTGTGCATCATGGTGCAACATAACGCCTGTACAGAGATGGATAGATAGACAAAAATCTAAATATGTAGGTTTTGGCTGAGGGAACTAGCCGGCCTACCTTGTTCTTTTGTTAACGACTCTTTACATTACAGTCCTCAGTGTTATGTTTCATTGGAACTAACCTCCAAACTGGCCAGGGCTTTAAAGCGTTAGTTTAAAGGATGACTCATCCAGTTCACATAGTATGTAAGATTGGCTCTCGCATGGAGATCTCGAATAGAGATCCAAGAAAAAGAATGTTGTTGCCTGACTTTTGTTAACCTATTTCAACAAAGAATGGCAACATAATATTTTTCTGCTGTTATCAGATGCCAATAACTGTAACATAAACTGTTGTGTAAGATGATGATGAAACGCACGCCTTGTATAAATCGCCTCTCGAAGATTGAGTCAAAACACAAAAATCTATTTAAAAGTAAAGGGACCATATGTCCATATCAGTCGATTGAATTGATAAAATGAAATAAACAAAGGCTATGAAATCCCTATTAGATAATAATTGTTGGTTTTAAGGCCTGCTAATACAAAATGAAACCAGGCGTTGTGTTGAGCAGGTTGATGTGGGACAGATGGTTATCCCAACCTGTTCTTCCTCGTCCGCTTGCCAACCTCAACACTTTCTTCAATGTTATACGCCATGACGGCATTTAAGTTATTTACAGCATGAAAAAGAAGATGGGGATTCTGATAGGCTGCCATCACGTGTGATATCTAATTTGTATGTGGACACAGTGCTGAAGCGTTCAGCTGGGATTTGTGATATCACACATACTATGCTCAGCTGCACTTAAACATGTGCACTACACTTATACTGATGTGTAAGCAAAGTCAGAGACGCAGACATACAAGTGTGCATACACACTCTCTCTCACACACACACAAACACACTGCTCTTCTAACTACCATACAACGTCTGACTCTAAATCTCTAAGCTTAGCCTTTTTCTTTTAAGTGTTCCTTCTTCCTCTTCGTTGCTCACATTTTCAATGACTGGCCTCTTAGAATCCAGTGATGTTCCCCTTTTTCCAGGTTTATCCATCTTAGTGGATTCTCCTCACGTATGCCTCTGTTGGAAAGGGCAACAAGGGGCCGATTGGCTTTATCCCCTACCAGAAGCCCCAGACATGAACCCATCTCGGTGTCTCATCTCCGACCCCAAAAAACTCAGCTCCCTAAATGTATACAGGCCTGGTCCTCTGCATGCTACTGGGGCTGCATATCAATCAAATCAACCTACGTACCTGACTATCATTATGCTGGAAAATAAATAATAGATAACTCTCTGAAAATAGATTATAACGGGTTAGACAACTAGACTGCTGAGGATCAAGTGTTTTAAATCAACACGAAATGAGCTGGAAATATGGACCGATTCCTTTGACTTCTAATGTGAGTGATAGAGGATATTTTCAATTTGAAGCCAGACCTTTATCTCATGTGATAATGAGCTTAACCAAGGCCATGATGGAGATGAGGAAGTACAGTGTGTCATTAGGCTCCATATAGTAGTGCTGGAAGCTGCACTCCATCAGAGGTGATTGGCAGATGGTTAATGTGTGAACTGGGAGATAGCATGGAGAAGAGACTTTCCCCTCCAAACCCTGATATAGAGCAGAAAATAGCCTAGATAGATAGAGTTTTCCCCTCCAAGCCAGTGACTCCCCCATCGTGAATGATTGATGGGATGATTAGCATGACTCTCAGAGAGGAGAGAGGACGTCTCCTTGCTGGAAGGCTGCAGGGTGTGTGCTATGTGGTAGGATGACCCATAACCCTAAAACCACACACTGGTATTCCTGTTTCAACTCTGGAATGATTCAATTCTATCCTGACCTTAAGTTTAAAGAAGGAATGTTGTGTCATGGTTAGCGTTACAAAGGCAGGGTATATGACTGGAAACTTTCGAGGTTTACCAGTAAACTACCAGAATGTTGGTATATTTCATGGATTTTATGTAATCTATCAAGACATCTAGGTACTTCAGAATATCACACGTGTCTGTAATTATCTCTGGCCCTTATCACATGTAAAATATATGAAATAATTAAATAAGATGATTTTCAAAGAAAAAATTAGATTGACAAAGCTGTAAAACATTATCATAAATATAAACCATCAACTTAATGAATACCATTGGGGTTTAATATGAGGGTTTCAGCATTACATATCCTTTATATGTATATATTTTTTCTATGTCAATATGTATTTGCTGTCAATGTTTTGGCATCAAACTTGGTAGCAGCTGTGAATAAAGTCAATAGATGGACGAGTTGCAGAAGGAATTGAAAATAATGCCATTGTTGATTAGATGCTTTTTTCATTAATTTGGCTATTTACACGTATACATTACCAAACATACAATGGATTGCCAAAGATTTTCTGTTAATGACCAAAATTACTGAAGATTCCGGTAACTTTGGTAAATTACCAGTAGCTTTGTAACCCTAGTCATGGTAGTTTTTATCAATCAATGGGAGAATGTGTAAGCAGTGTGTTTCTCCCTAATTATTCTACTGAGGCTGAGTCTTGCCAGTAGTTAGTTCACTTACGGCTCATATCTTCCTTATGTAATTTGTTTGTAATTCTCTACTAATATGTGTGTACACACAAATAGCATTACGCACTTAGTTAACCATTAGGCCATTGTCCCCTAATTCAATGATTCAATTAGTATTAACTAATTAGATTACACCCCCTAACATCAACTGGGCTTACACACAAGTACCAAATACCTGCTTCAATGACTGCCAATTATACTCAACCCATGAAAAATAATGAATGAAATCAAGGGCTACAGTTCAAAAGAGCCACTTTGCTCTAGCTACCGTACATGGGTGTGAGTGAGGCCCTTTTGTACTGGATGGTTACCACAGCACTTTTCATTTTCTCCTCCTCTGGTCCAAATCCAGCCGAGCTCAGCGAAAGCTCCTGTCACCTCCCCAGACCCATAATCATGTGCTGATCCTTGGCGTCTTGTTCACAGTTTTCATCATCCTCCCCATGCCCCAGATCAATTTTTTATTACGGTCGTTGACACGCCCCCCCCCCCCCCCCCCCTCCACCTCCTCCATCCCTGAGAGTGTGTAGATTAATTAAGCAGACAGACATGCGACAGCCGTAGCGATAACGAGGGAGGGAGGCGCTGGCCCAGTTAGTAATTTTAATGGCCGCCGACAACAGGTCGCTCTTGTTATAAAGGAGTTAATGCAGCAGAATGTGAGAGAGATGCCGTTGAGTTACCTATTGGTGGATATCATAACAGAGGTGACTACGTCATTGGATGAGGAGGATGGATCGAGTTGTGTTGATGCACCGGAAATGATGGGCAAAGGCCATGCATTTTTCATTACCTTGTGGTAATATGAACACTCACTCTATTCGGTGTCTTCATGAACAGTCCATCATCTGAACGCAAATATCAAATTCACACACACGCGCACACACGTACACATGCACGCACACACACATGCACAGTCACATGCTCTCTCTTTCTCATGAGCACACACACACACTCAGTCACATGCTCTCTCTCTCTTTCTTGCTCTCTGTCACGCTCTCTCTCACAAGCACACACACACAGACACACACAACCCATCCAATTATCCTCCATGGGATTTTCAAACAATGTACTTTGTATCATAGATCAATACTATTATCTATTGGATGCTGTTGTTCATGGTTCATCAAATAGAGGTTCTAATTTGTTTGGAAAAACTCTGCAGGACTTATTTTGCTATTTAGACCAAACTAAAAATTACATTAATTTGGTTAGCATGAATGTTCTAAGAAGTATTAGTAAAGTACGATCCTGCTCTTTTAAGTTCAAATCCATCACAGAAACAGTTTGATGCAAATACTAATTTCATAGGGAGCACACAAGCCTACACTTTGACATAAAACAAAACAAATTAACTTTTAAACTGACTTTGTCTTCTCCCAAAAAAACGTGCCACAATGATTTTAGGACGTTTTCCAAGCAGATTTCATTCGTGAAACACTCAATTATAGTAAGCCAATGTACAATCATGCTTGTAAGAGGACCGCTGATAGGAGATCCATTGTTATAGGCCATTTGGGTGTTTCTGGGTGCTTTGGGGTGCTTCTTCTCAAAGCCTGTAGCTAAGCCCCTTAGTGATTGTGGATGACTGGGATTTCTCTGCAAGGCATTAAGGTGTTCTGAGCCCCACACTCCCTCACACCTCTTCAACTCAGAGCCACTTCATGTAATCGGGAAGATTTGAGGATGCCACTTGCAATGCCATATTTATCCCCCAATTAATCAAATCTATCGATCCGCAACGCGTCCATAGAGAGATGTATACTGTCATTGTGTTTTATGTGTCTGTGTGGCTCCTACTGTAGCTCTGTTTTTCATTGTGGTTGGATCTGTGGTTGTACAGTTACGTCTCAGTGTATTGTATGTTTGGAAACAATGAGAGCAAAATGGTCTCCATCTTGAGGCTCTGCTAAAATGTATGGGCAGTTTGAGATGGCTGGAAGGATTTGGTTTTGGGACACTAGGTTCTGTCTGGTGAACATGCAAATAATAAGACTCTGAGTGGTGGCAGGAGTGTGTACCATTGGTTGAGGGCAGCCTAGCAGGAAGTCTCTCTGCCATGTGTAAACTGATGGGCCACTTATATAGCCTAAGCCAGATGGCTATCAGTGTAAGTGGGCTGAACTGGCCCTGTCTGCCACCTGAGGACCCGACAGAGGGAAACAGGTGCTCTGGACGATTGTGTGTGTGCGTATGGGTGTGAGTGGATGTGTGTGTGTGTGTGTGTGTGTGTGTGGCACACACAACAAAGACCTTCTGTGACTCTCTCTCTCACACACTCACACACACACACTCTCTCTCTCTCTCTCTCTCTCACACACACACACACACACACACACACACACACACACACACACACACATCAAACATTGGGGAAGAGTAGACATTTAGTGGACTCAGGCGTGGCTAAGGGAGGGAAGGGGGGCCTGGGCAGCGGTCTCTGGGGGCAGGAGGGACCCCACCATGGGCGCCACCCCAAGCGCCCTGTGCGGGATAGGGAGAGTGACAGGAAGCAACCAGGGCCCCACCACCAGCACAACGGGACCTTCCACCCCCAGAAACTAGGCTTCCTGCCAGTTGAGGGAGGCCATGAGGACAAGCTGAAGTTTGTGGAGGAGGATTTTCCCTCACTCAACCAATCAGAGAGCAGTGGGAAGCCGGTGGCCCAGCCTCATGCCGTAGGGTCTCCTGTAGGAGTTAGGGAGCACCCTCCTAGTGCCAAGCAGACCATGACTAAGATGTTGGTCATCAAGAAGGTTTCCAAGGAAGACCCCAACACTGGTTTCGCCAACACGACGGTACCCCACCTAACCAACAGCACCAAAACCCCTATCTCCTCATCCAGTGTCTACAAGAACCTGGTGCCCAAGCCAGCTATCACCCCAACCAAGGCTGGTCCCTGGAAGCCAAGCGGGAGAGAAACCAAAAGCAGTTTTAATTTATCCGGCTAGGACTCCGCCTTCACCAGTCCTGCTTCCTCTGTGACCAAACCTCTTACGCCTGTTACTCCCCCGACCTACGGAACCCCCAAGGAGCCTCCCTCCAGCATCACCTCTCCCATCGACGTCACCCTTCCTCGTCTGAAGCTGATGTGTCGCAGCACCGACCGGAAGAGTGAGTTCCTGCGAGGCCTGAAGGATGAGAGGAACGGGGACGGGCCCACCTCTACCAGTCCCTCAGACCCTAAGGAGAACAGAGGAGACTTACAGGAGAATATGATCCCTCACACACTCAGCGACTCAGACACAGATCACCTTTCCAGGCAGAACACAGGTTGATCAAAGCTATGGGCTGGCAGGAGTACCCAGAGAATGATGACAACTTCTTGCCCATCACTGATGCCGAGCTCCAAGAATTTCAAGCTAAAAATGAGAAGCTGAAGAGGAACGGGCTGGGCCAGAACGTTGTTCTCCTGAAGCCTCTTCTCAAGGGTGCGCCCCTGCCCCTGCTGTCCTGGAGAAACCCTGTTGAGCCTGAACTAGAAGAGGTCTCAGAGTCCGAGAGCACTAGCAGCAGCCAGACATCAGACGACGCAGACACCTAACATGCAGACACCCCTCCTCTTCTTCTTCCTCACGTCACGCTCCCTCGCTCATTGCACTCGTCTGTTTTACACTTCCTCGTTCACACGAGACTGGTCATTCAGACACTGGGGTGGCAGAGAGGTCAGAGGTGAGGCCTGCCTGCCTGCCTGAGGGTCTTTCTGCTTAGTTTTCATTCTGCTTTTTCTTTCCTTTCTTTTTCTTTCTTTTGACCCCCGTTTGTTTGGTATTTTACTAGAAGCTAAAATGATTATTGAGAGCAAAACACGTCAGCATTTTCTTTTGATTTTGTGATGAAAAAAGCTAACCCATGATGACATCAACCAAACCAATAATGATTTTACTTGCAAATGACTTCATCGATCAATAATTTTTTTTGAAATATGGCTTTGACTCTTGCTCTTGCTTAAAGAATTTGTAGCATTTGTGTTGAGATGAAACAATCATTGTGAGCAGTTGATATTGACATTGCCTCCAGTCCCCTAAATAACCCATCTGGATGGATTTAGGTTTGTTTTGTTTTGGTCCATTTAAAGCCGACAAATTGTAATGTCTTTGTCTTATTTGAACAGTGTAAGGCATGCGTTTGCTCATCATTATATTTTCTCCTAAGCGGTAGGAGAACAGTAATTTACAGTCATGGACCACCATTATTTTTATTGCAATACTGATTGAATGTAGCCAGGAAGGGCATAAAGAATAATAAAACAAAGTTTCGAAGTAATGGAAATGCCACTTTACCAAACTTATTCTGGAGAAAAACAAAATTATCCCAATGTAGCTGTTCAAGCTGATTATCTGTTCTTAGTTCACCAACCGCCATCATTTTCAGATGTGCAAAATTCCAAGTTCTGTGGTTGATAGAGTACTCTGTAGCTCAGCTGGTAGAGCATGGCGCTTGCAACGCCAGGGTTGTGGGTTCGTTTCCCACGGGGAGCCAGCATGAAAAAATGTATGCCCTCACTAACTGTAAGTCGCTCTGGATAAGAGCATCTGCTAAATGACTAAAATGTAATTACTTTACACATAAGTCATTGGACGAAGGCGTTTTCTGTAGGGGGGAGTTTTGTTAAGATCCCCGGCGCTCGGTCAGAACATTAACATGCATCGCTTTCGGTACGGTTTTGGAAGCAGAAGGACCTTATCTTTCATATCAGCCAGAAGATTAAATTAATACACACCTTTATAGAGTTAATGTTCCCACACAGCCATATCTCCATGTTACAGCGCTTGTTTACGGAAGACAGACGGAAGACAGAGGGTCCACCTGTGCTAATTAGCTATCTAGCATGCTCCAACACCTGTGTGCAACTGAAGAATGCGGTCAGAAACGTGTTGTCACAGAAAAATACTGTCAGCTGCAACCGTGATAAAGCCGGTTAAAACAGTGTACAGTAAGTGTATATATTTTTTTATTTGTGAAATTATTTTGATGTGACATAACAGTAAAGGGCTTTACATTTCTAGAACTGCATCGCAATTGAGAATCGATTCACGTATAGATGGAGTATCTGGCTGTTTTGGCTGCCAGAGCCAGTCTTCCTCTGAAAATAACATAATATCCTTTAACCTTAAGGAGTAACAGTAGGCTCCTAAAGAGCACATCTTGGGCTAAGTGGAATGGTGCTATGTTTCCTCTGTTAGACTCCTTATAATGTATTGTATGATGTCTCTTTCTTTTGTATCATGACTTTGGAGTTTGAATTATGTATTACTCTGTATTTACACATGAAGTTCTTAATTCTCACTCATATTTGATTAAGTATTTCTTGTTTCTTGTAGTTTCACCCTGTATCATTAAAGTGGACAACGATGATCAAGATCTTGACTCCTGTATGATAAGGCATTTAGTTGTCATATCATACTGTAATGTGAAGACAACAGAACAGACACAATTTCTGCCCATAGAACTTACTGCACACCATGCAAACTATTCAAGATGAATGCTAGACAATCCCCAAAGAGGTTTTACGTTTCTGGAGTTGTTTCATCCTGTCTCTCTGATATAATGTGTAGAAATGTACCATGTTCACCATCTGTTTTATTATAAAGTGATGACATTACTTTAGACCTATCTGTCAAACAGTGACGTATTTGGCTGACTGAAGATGATAGCCTCACGTTGGCAGGCTCCTCATTCTTTAAACAGACAGCAATGTCTGCTCTCATTCATGGACATTAGCAACATGGAAATGTCTGTAGCACGTATACATGGGGCGAGTGAAAGAAACATATCTGCTCTTTCAACAGCGTATGACTTTAAAAATACTGCTGTTGTGAACCACTAATCTAACTTTGGGTTGGGGAAGTCCTGTGGGTGGGGGGTGGGATGGGAACTGTATGTGTTGTTCGGTCGTATCACTTGTTTCTTTGTCCATGTGTTCCTGTTTTAGTGTAACTTACTAAAAACAATCAAAACATTCGATCACAAAAAGAACAGACACATTAGTGGTGTATGCAATGGTAACTGCATAGAAAGCAAAAAACTAGTACATGGACTGAGTAGTACTGTAAGTTATATATTATATATTATGAGATAATGTTTGCTATGTTTTAATGGTGTTGTGCATCACATAATTCAGGATCAAATGTGTTTACACAGCCTAATGGCATGTAAATATAGTTTGCTTCCTATCTCTTGAAGCGAGGATAGCTAAATACATTGTCAGCAGGGTCTCTTGCATGCAATACGGCACACATAGACTTTAATTGCCTACAGCGATTGCAGAAAGGAAAGATTCATTACTTTTATACCCTCCGTTGTTCTTAATCTCTCATCCTGCCGGTATGTACTGTATTCTCCATTTTATCAGCCACCACATACTTAGCACTAACACAAATGTCCTCCTCTTCCAGTGGAATAAAAGCCGGAGATAAGTGTCGAGAGCTGCTGCATTCATCACTAGTCACTACTGATATGTCACGCTTTGGTGGCGTACAATCCATTGGAGAAAAGGAGCGGTACACTAACTGTTTTACAAAGGTATAATTAGTGGTTCATTTTAATGGATCATAATATTTTGCTTCTACTCTACCTTTAGGTGCATATGTATTAGACAATATGGAGGGTGCACAGATGACGATGGATCTGATGAAAACAACTTTATTCATGGTGTTTTCAAATGGTGGTAACGGTCATGATGACTGTGATGATGGTGGTGATTCAGCTGTTGATGGTGACAATCAGAAGCATGAAATAGATGACAGGCTTGAAAGTAATGACTGACGTCAGTGATGACCTTATTGGCTTCTATAATTAGGATGATGGCGATGGCCATGACTATTATAGGAACCTATCCCAAAGTGTTACCAGCCAGCTCTGACTCGCTCTGACTTACTTGGAGTCTGGCAAACCATACTGTGATTCTCCCCTCCGTATCGGTAACCTGTCTGTCCATGGCCGGTGACGCCTCTCCGTCCTCTGCACCATGCTTGGAAGGGGGAGCAGAGTTAACTCTTATCAGCGTGGGCTGAGCCTGCAGGACCACAGCAATTCACATGGAGGGAGGGGAGGAGTGACACTGGCAGATGGGAAGCAACACACATCCAACGACACATCTCACCCAGATCCCCCAATCTTAAGATTGGCACAAGCACCATCCTTGCCTCTGCCAAAGTCTCCTACTGAAACCAATGTACGCTTTTGACTTTCACTTTGTGAATCCAATCAGTGTAGCCCTGTCTCCTGGTCTACTGTGCCAGTCTGTTCAATGGCTATGTGTTCCATGTTTTTGTCACTGAGGGGGCTTCTTTAATTCCCTCAAATTGGTTTGGCTGTCCCTGTGAAGATATGAGGCTAGCGCCGCCGAGTTGACGTCACACTGTTTACCTGCAGTTTAAAGGATCTTGCGTCCTCCACAGGGGGTCTTAATATCCCGTCCTCTTCCATAAAGACAAGGAATTAGCCCGTCCCTACACCGGGGTGAGGGAACGTGGCGGTGCGCTGGAAATATAAATAGCTCCTAATGCTGAGCACTGACACGCCATTAAAACTCCATCCATCCTACCTTTGACTCTCACCCCCAAAAAAAGTATTTGATCCCCTGCTGATTTTGTACGTTTGCCCACTGACAAAGAAATGATCAGTCTATAATTTTAATGGTAAGTTTATTTGAACAGTGAGAGACAGAATAACAACAACAAAATCCAGAAAAACGCATGTCAACATTTTTATAAATTGATTTGCATTTTAATGAGGGAAATAAGTATTTGACCCCCTCTCAATCAGAAAGATTTCTGGCTCCCAGGTGTCTTTTATACAGGTAATGAGCTGAGATTAGGAGCACACTCTTAAAGGGAGTGCTCCTAATCTCAGCTTGTTACCTCTATAAAAGACACCTGTCCACAGAAGCAATCAATCAATCAATCAGATTCCAAACTCTCCACCATGGCCAAGACCAAAGAGCTCTCCAAGGATGTCAGGGACAAGATTGTAGACCGACACAAGGCTGGAATGGGCTACAAGACCATCACCAAGCAGCTTGGTGAGAAGGTGACAACAGTTGGTGCGATTATTCGCAAATGGAAGAAACACAAAATAACTGTAAATCTCCCTCGGCCTGGGGCTCCATGCAAGATCTCACCTCGTGGAGTTGCAATGATCATGAGAACGGTGAGGAATCAGCCCAGAACTACACGAGAGGATCTTGTCAATGATCTCAAGGCAGCTGGGACCATAGTCACCAAGAAAACAATTGGTAACACACTACGCCGTGAAGGACTGAAATCCTGCAGCGCCCGCAAGGTCCCCCTGCTCATGAAAGCACATATACAGGCCCGTCTGAAGTTTGCCAATGAACATCTGAATGATTCAGAGGAGAACTGGGTGAAAGTGTTGTGGTCAGATGAGACCAAAATCGAGCTCTTTGGCATCAACTCAGCTCGCCGTGTTTGGAGGAGGAGGAATGCTGCCTATGACCCCAAGAACACCATCCCCACCGTCAAACATGGAGGTGGAAACATTATGCCTTTGGGGTGTTTTTCTGCTAAGGGGACAGGACAA